GGATGCTCTGGTCCAGCTACTAGTAAGTCATCCAGGTTTGGGGTGGATGGTTTTGTACTTGTTGCCTGAGAGGACCCTTGTCAGGGCAGCTCCATGGTAGCCATGCCCACAACGGTAACTAGGCAACTGAAGTCATGCTGCTGTGAGGAGCTGGGCAGGGGCACTAGCAACCTCATGAAAAAGTCAGAGACCCTCCCATTTGGCCTGGGTCAGCCTCAGCTCCATGGCTCTCCCTGACCTAGCCTCACCCCTCCAGTCCATCCTCACTGCAGCCAGAATGATAGCTCTGAAGGACACACCTGGCCCTTTCATTGCCCAGCTTAAAACCCGTTGATGGATGAGCCCATTACTAGAACCAGGGCTGCTAGGCCCTCCAGGCTCCTGCCCTGCATCCTTCCTAGTGCCTATGCTCCTTCTGCTGCTTCCTCTTCTCAGAGTGGGTCCACATTTCCTACCTCCTCCCATGGACCTTTCTGTTTTGCAAACACTGTGCTCACGAGTCCTGTTTGAAATCTGTCTTCCCCAGTCGCATCCTGGTAGACTTGACCCCTTCCTGGCTGGATCCCACTGTTGATCAGTCTCTCCCATCCCCTGCTCTCCCCTCATGCTACCTGTAACACATGGTACCTGTTAGTGCTGGGAGCATGTCTCATTCACCATCACTAGCAGTGGGAATTATAAGAGTGGTGCATGTTGTTCTGATCTGACTTGCAGGCCCAGCTAGTTTTTTGAGAAATGCTGTTCCTCAGAATTCTCACAACAGCCCTGGAAGGTGGGGATAAGGATCTCCATTCTGCAGATGAGGAAGCTCAGAGAGGTTAAGTCGCTTTCTCCCTGTCACACAGCTCATCGGAGTCAGAGATGGGATTTGAACATGGATCAGGCCCATGCCATTTCCATCTTCCTGGCCACCAATTCTAACCTGGGACTGACCCACAGGGGAGGCAGCCAGCAATGGCTTGCTGATGAAAGGATAAGCCTGAGGCTGCTGGGTAGAAAAGTTGATGTTACAAGGAGAGCTGACCAGCTTGGCTTTTAAGAGTTAAAAAGGCTCTCTTACATGGTTCCATGGGTCTGGTTGAAAAGAAGTGAGGAGATCACGCAACATTTTAGGTTATCATTGGATTTTCCATGTTTTTAGGTAAATAAATAAAACCCATCCTTATCTCTGCCATGCAGCATAGAAAATGACCTCTCTCTGAAAGCAACTTGAGTCTCCCTGACTGGGGTCAACTTGGGTTGGGGGCCCAGAGGAGGACTCGGCCAGCCTTCCAAAGGCCAGTTAAGGCATTGGCATTTCACGCTTCCTCCGCCAAGCTGTGGGGGGTTGTGAGGTTGTTTGGGCCAAGGCCCTGTGTCCAGAGGGCAGTTTCCTCATTCTAAATAGCTTCATACCGTCCTGTTCTCACACACAAAAAAGAAAACTGACCAACTGTGTGCTGGTCGTGGCCTGTCAGGCACAGGGGCACATGACGGACTTTGAACATGATCTTCCATGGAATAGGCAGCTGTTAATGGTGAGATGATCCCATTTTCATTTTAAAAATCCTTTAGTTTCTGGGTGGTGAGAAAATTGGAGAAGAGGATGTGGGAGAAGAGTTAGGATGTGCTGTGGTCTAGGTGAGAAATGGTGGTGGTGGCATTGGAGAGGGGTAAACGTGAGCAGGAGTAAGGTCTGCTTAGGAAGTGGGACGGAGAGGACTTGATGGCTCGTTGGCTATGGGCAGTGAGATGTCAAGGCAGGCAGGCTTCTGGTGGGGCCTCTACTAGACGCTGGTGCCACTCACAGTGATTAAACAGGCAGAAGAAAGCAGAAGGCAAGAATCAAGGCAAAAAACAAATGGCAAGCCCTATGTACCAAACAAGAAAGAGACTACTAACTTCTGACCGAGAAATGGGGAAAGGACAGTGACCTTGAAGTTCCTAAAACAAGTAGTGCAAATGGCCATGAAACAGAAAAAATATTCAACTGATATCCAAAACATGGAGATTAAAATATCTAGGCTCCATTTAATGCATCACATTGGCAAAGGGAAGGAGAAGGAGAAGGAGAAGGAGAAGGAGAAGGAGAAGGAGAAGGAGAAGGAGAAGGAGAAGGAGAAGAAAAAGAAGAAAGCCCACTAACGTCTCATATCGATGAGAGCATGAGGAATTGGCATGTCCATATATTGCTGGTAGAAATATAAAGTGGTGCAGTATTTTGTGGGAGGCAGTTAGTATTTTTTTTTTAAATGTTAAGTTGTATATATGCACAAATATTAGGGTATCTTTACGACTAGAGAAAAATTGGAAACCACCTATATGTCTATCAGTAAGAGATTAATTATGTATCTATGTAACCACTTAAAAATAAGATTAAAATTAGTGTGTATAGTATGATCCCATTTGGTAAAGTATCTGGATGCGTTGTTTGTGGATGTCTGTGTGGGGGGTATTTATCCTAGAAGGTTGAGAAGGGAATATATCTAAAATCATATTGTGAGTGGTAGGTGAGTTTTTATTATATTTAATGTACTTGAGTAAGATAAAAAATAATATTTTAAACAAAGAGAAGACAATAACTGCAATATAACAGAAACTGTGATTAAAGTGTTATCAAAGGGCCAGGCTAGCATTGCTCAGTGGATTGAGCATCCTCCCATGCACCAAGGGGTCACTGGTTCAATTCCCAGTCAAGGCACAGGCCTGAGTTCCAGGCTCAATCCTCAATAGGGGGTGTGCATGAGGCAGCCAATCAATGTTTCTCTCTCATCGATGTTTCTGACTCTCCCTTGCCCTTCCTTTCTCTCTCTCTCTCAAAAAAAACCAAAAAACACACAAACAAACAACAACAACAAAATATTAAAAAATAAAAGTGTTACTGTACGGAACCCAGGGATGGGAGTGACAAATGCTGACTCGAGTGGCTGGAGAAGGCTTCCTGGAAGAGGTGTCATTGGATGGAGTATGAATAATCAGTTATGTTTGTTTGGTTTTTCCATTTCTGCACAAGGAGACATGGGAACTTGACAAAGGCAAAGCCTGAGCCAATTGTGCAGCCCTTTCCCTGAGTTTGGTCTCTGGTCATAAAAATTCCTGCCAATTAATTTTAAACCAGGTGACAGGAAGTGGAAGCTTAGAGCTCTAGAAATTCACCAGCAGCTTCGGCCAGTGTGCCGTGCAGTCGCTTTGCCACTTTCCCCCAGCCCCCGGACCCAGTTGGGATTTTATCCTCATTGGCAGTGGCAATGGCATTCCTGGACACTCTGCTATCAGCCCTTTCTAGTTCCTTGGTTACTATCTTGAATCTTTGACTAAAGAATCACTTTCACTTCACATTTTCTCAACTTGGTTTTAGCAATTATGCAGCTTCTTATCAAAATGCCCTTTTGGGAACTTAAATATGCATTGATACGATCTACTTACTTACTGTGTGGAAAACCCCGTGACCCGACAGAACGGAATGACCTGCCTGGATTGGGAGAAGGAGCTTAATTGGTGGCCTGCTGCCACGGAATTGCAAATTTGGGGTTTGATGAGGACCGGAAGGGAAACTGAATACACTCTCAGAGCAGAGGGTCAGGAGTGGGCTGGTGAGCCCACGTCCCAGTGCCTTTAGTTATTAGCGGTGTAACCTCAGGCAACTCTCTGGACATATAGTAAGTGTTAATTGATTTTGCTGTTTCAGCTTTGAGATGTGACTTTGGTTCTAAGGTCTGGCTGCAGCATAGTGAGGGAGCTGAGACCATCCCTCCCCAGAGAAAGTAGGCACCACTGGGAGCAGGGTTGTACAGGGATGAGCATTTAAATTTCAGAAGTTATTTCTTTAATGAGCACTAAAAATATATATGTATTCACAGCACCCAAACCTATGACTTCATAGATAGTTTATATAGAATTGGCGTGATTAAAAATTCCTTTAAATTTGTTAGCAACCATTTTGCAATTATGGAATCTTTCTTAGTGGCGAGGTTGCCTTTTACTGGACCACAGAGAGAAGAGGGAAAGAAGTAAAGAGCTGCTGGAACTTTAAAAAAATCCGTTAACAATAAAGTTAAGCAAAAAAAAAAAATGTGAATTGATTTGGGAAAATTAAATGATAGCAGAGGTAAGATATCAATATAGTGAAAATGGTACCAAAATGACCGCAGCAGGCCGTGGCTGGGTCGCTGAAACTCACTGAGTGGCAGTTTTCTCATTGGTAGTATCTCTCAGGGTGGTTATGAAGATGATGAGATAATGTCTGTAGATACTGTTGGCTCAATCGCTGTCACAAATAGATGATTTTCCTTCCCTTTTTTAAGTTAAAAGTGACCTCTCAGATTGGCCAGTGTGGTTTCCTTGTTTTCCAGATGAGGTACCTGAACTCCAATGGGGGAAAGACCAGCTGAGAACTCCTGAGATCACATGCTCCTCACTAGGCTCAGATGTGCACAGGGCCTACCAGGGACCTGAAAAGTCTTAGGGAGACTGACGAAGGCATGGGAATAAAAATTGACCAATAATGCAGGCCACAGTGATGAGATAGCCGTGGGACAGAAAGGGGGAATTACTGATGGGCGCTTTTCAGTATAGTGCACTGTCACAGCCCTTCTCCGCAAAATGGGAAACTCTACGTATAAAAGAAAAAAATTTGGAAAAATACCCAAAATGTTAGACATAAGTAGAGGAAGTGGCATTTTCCTCTGCTCTATTTCTCCTGGTATTTAATGGTGCTTTGCATTCTGGCCTCTGTGAACAATAAAAGTAACTGCCAGAATGATTGGAAGGCTGAGTTTTCTGTAGCAAGAGTTGGGCACCATCAGTGCCCTGTTTGTCATATAACTACCCATTATCATACTTCATCTCTGATTATCTCACTTCATTTTTGAAATCATTCCCTCCTTGTCCCTGACCATTAGCAATTTTCCCATTTACCTGGGATCATAAGTAGTTGGTAAGCAATATTAGGTATAAACCGATGATGCACTTGAGTCCAGCAGTCTGCAGGGACTCATTGTCATTGTCTTCTTGTTTTGCAGATGGAAACACTGAGACTCAGAGAGGGCTGGTGATCTCTGCGGCACTTGGTCAGCAGGTAAGTGATAATGCTGAAAGTGAGCCTGACACACGATACAGGTCTCGTCGCCAATCTCTGCGGCCCGTTGTCTCAATCTTGTGACTTTTCTGATTTGTGCAATTCAAGTCAGGAAGTAAGATGAGTTGTTCTGAGGCGCTTAGGTATTATTTGCGCTTGCGGTTTCTGTTTGTTCCTACCGTCGGGTTGGAATGGTTAGCAGGTGAGTCTGTGAAGGCCTCTCAGGCATTGCCTGGACCAGATGGGATCTGTCCCTGAGAATGGCAGAGGTCATTCAAACCTGGCCCAGGTTGTGCCGAGTGTGACATCATTGAACCTTCAATAGACACAACTGCTGTGTCTAGAACAGAGAGCCCTGGACTAGGGGGTCTGGGGACCTGGGTTCCAGTCCCGCCATAAGCTGCTCTGTGACCTTGAACGAGCCACTCAACTCGTGGTGTCCCTCGCTTTTCATTCTTTCTTTTAAACTTTCCCCTCAGAATATCTGGTGCCAGACTCTGTGCCAGGCATGGGGGATAACACGATACATACGACGCAGGCTTTGCCCTTGAGGCATGCATTACCCAATTGATGAGCTCTTCCATTTCTTCATTACTGTCTCATCGTGAGAATTGCTAGCATCTGCTTTGGTGTTTACAATCAGTAGAACATTTTGCTATCTTCCCCGAAACTCCATAAGATGAAAAAAAAAAGTGATTGCTCTTTTGCAGAGGAGAAAATGATGGCTTAGAGAGTTGGCCAAGGCCACGTGGTGAATAAGGGTTAGCATTGACCTTGAAATCCAGAGCATCGGTTTCTGCCAAAAGCCACTGCTTCACCTGATGGCTGGAGCACTTGAGCAGGCATTTTAGTGACTCTGCCCCTCAGCAGGGGTCAATGTTGGGGTGACCAGCACTAGGACGGCCCCCATGCCGATAGAGGAATTCCTTTCTGGGAGGGGTACTCTCCTGTGTGTGGTGGGTTAATCCAGACAGCAAGGCCTTCTCTGCCTGAGAGTGAGGGCAGCCTTAGGCCCTGGGTAAACTGATAACCAGAGGAAAACATGCAGAGGGCCCAGGGCCATTCCCACCACCCCTGGGAGCTGGGAGGCAGCATAACAGAGAGAGTCTGCCCGGGGCCTGGATGCACACCCCTTTCTGCAGTGACCCTACTGCTCTGCTGTGTCCCACCAAAGCTGAGCGATCCCCGATCCCCGTAGCTTCTGCTGGGGCAGAGGTGCCTGGCCTCAGGCAAGACGTGGAGAATGATATGGACCCGAGGCTGCACTGTTTGTTTGTGGGGATGACAACTGCTTGAGCAGGAAGCGCTGAGGCTGCCTCAGAGACTGGGACTTCAAAGGGTGTTGAACTACCTAGTCAGGGACTAGGCCTGCTTTTCCTTTCCAGTATATTTGTATGGCGTGGTTTGTAGCCATCCGTGATGATGTACCCCCATGCATGGGATGTATGGGGTGTGTAGGATTTGTGGGGAATGTGTGTGTGCATGTGGGCGTGGGGTGTGTGGGAAGGGTGTGCGTGTGTGTGTGTGTGTGTGTATTTAATCTCTAGGAAGCAATTCTTATAAAAAATTCAATTCTTATGGAAACACAGTGTAATTTTTCAACAGGACCCAGAAATGGGCTTTTAATAAGCATCATTAAGCTCTTTGATTACAAGGGGAAGCCAGCCATTCTTTCATCCCGGCTTGGATCACACAGCTCTCCCTTGCCCTGTTCTGTGGGGTCAGATAAAAACTCCTACTATTCGTATTGGTCTCTCCCAAGCCCTTTCTCCCCCTTTCCTGCCCTCCCCAGCCCCGGCCCCCACACGGGGCTTGTCTGATCTCGCCGCTCGGACTGCACACAGACAGGGCTGGTGTCAGCACTGACAGATGATAGCTGCGGGCGTGCCTGGAGTCTGAGCGCCCTGTTTCTCCTGTTGTCCCAGCAGAAAACTTTAGGGTCTTTGTTCGGGAGGTGCTGAGAGCTGAGAGATCCGGGGCTCCTTCCTTTCCCCGAGGGTCACTTACCATCACCGCCACCCCGCAGGGCTGTGTGTGTGCAAACCCTTTCCTTTATGGATTGGATTTCCCCTTGTCCAACAAGAGAGAAGGCGAGGCCCTGCTGAAAGGCAGGTTTCACTCTAGACTGAAAGCATCCCTTCAGGTCTCCTAAGGAAGCTGGTTCCCAGAGCGATTATCTTTCCTGAGCCCGGAGCGTGGTGAAAGGAAGCTGGGCGGGCTTAGCAGCAGGCTTAGCAGGTGGTGCTACAAGAATGTTCCTTCATGTAAACAGGTCTGGGTTTGTGCAGTTTGGCTCTTCTCTGTGCACTGGCTCAGTTCTGCGCTGGTACGTTCTGATTTGCACGGCTCCTTCTCAGAGGTCCTGCATTCCTGAGCTTCTCTGTGCACTGGCTCAGTTCTGCGCTGGTATGTTCTGATTTGCACGGCTCCTTCTCAGAGGTCCTGCATTCCTGAGGAATGGAGTTCTGCCTGCATCACACCTGTGCACCCCAGCACAGGGGTACGGGGCATGGGGTATGGGGCACAGGGCACAGGGCTGAGTGTGCAGGAGGGGCAGCCAGTGTTAGTGGTCTGGCTCCAGGCAGCAGGTTGCCCAGGTGTGGTACCCATGCCGTGTATCATATAACAGGTCTGCAGTTAAGTCCCAGCCTGGCCTCTTACTGCACCATACAACTCAGTTTCTCTGTGCCTTGGCCCTGGAGGGCCTGCCCTATTTGGAACATTCTCTCTAGATCTTGCCAGCAACTCCAGGGCAGTGGCTGGCCCAGTCCCCGCGGCTCCAGTCATTGTATCAGAACTGGCAACAAACCAGATAAGCCACTAAACATCACAATTCTGCCACATATCCCCAGTGGACATGGTGCCTTGACCTTAAGACCTATCCAGACAGACTGTCCAGGGATGAGGACAAGAGCCATCAGCATCAGTTCTCCAAACACCCTTAGTCACAGCTTTAAAAGACATTTATTAAGCCCTACTATGTGCAAGGCACTGTGGTAACATCTTAGACCTATTTTTTCTAATTTTTATAGACATTTTCCAGATGATATAGCTAAGTTTCAGAGAAGTTATCATGCCCAGAATACATAAATATTTCATGGAAATGCCTGGATTTGAACCCAGGTGTCTGGACTAGAAGCTTATAGCTTATGTGCTCCACCTCAATGAAGCATGTGCCACACAATGGTTATCAAAAAAAATTAAGAAAAATGGCTGTCACTTAAGAGCAATAGTTCTTTTAAAGATAATCGATAATAATAAAAGCATAATATGCTAATTAGACCAGACGTCCTTCTGGATGAAGCCGAGGCTGCGAGGGCCAAGCCCCTTGCACGAATTTCATGCATTGGGCCTCTAGTCATTAATAAAGCACTTACTGCATGGCATCATAATCATCAGTTCTTCTGTTCCTCTCCCACTGGATGGTGAGGTTCTTGAGGCAGAAACTGGAAGCCCCAGCCCCTTGCAGGGTGCAGGGTTTATAGCAACTGATCGATAAATGTTTGAATGATTAACAATACAGGGGCAGGCAAAAGTAGGTTTATAGTTGTTTATATGGAAGATAATTCAACAATACTTTTATATAATAAAAGCCTAATATGCAAATTGTTTTACTGGGAGTTTGACCAGAGTTTGACTGCTTGCTATGACATGCACTGACCACCAGGGGGCAGTGCAGAACATGGCAGGCGTCTGTGACATGGTGACACTGCACTGGCAAAGGGTGTCAGTGGCGGCACTGCTGGCCCCGATGGGCCCAGATGAGAGCAGGATCATGGTGGGATGGTGGAGCAGGTGAGCAAGTGGCTCCAGGCCAAGGCAGGTGTGAGTGGTGGCCCGATCGCCCCACTGATTGCCCCACAGACTGCAACCAGCGCGACAGCGGGGGTGGGGCTGCTGCCCTGCTCCCAAGCACTGAGGGAGCCGGATGGGGGGCCCAGCCCTGATCAATTGCTCTGCAGGCAGGATGGTGAAGCAGGTGAGGGGACAGTGCCAGGCCACAGCAAAGTGCCAAGCAGGGCTGTGGTGCTGTGAGGCTGGGGGCGTGAGCTGGGGTTGTGAACCTGCGGGCATGAGCTGGGGCCTGATCCCCACAGGCCACCCCAAGGGACCGCGCCCATGCACGAATTCGTGCACTGGGCCTCTAGTAAATAAATAATCATACAAGACTAATCTCTGTGTTTTTTGTACTCACAATTGTAAACCTACTTCTTCTCAGCACTGTATGTATTATTTTAAGTCTTTAACCCTGTAAGATAGATACTCTTGTAACCATTTTACACCAAAGAAAATAGAGGCTTGAAGAGTTTTGAGTAACTTGCCAGGGTACCTCGCTGGTAAGTGACAGAACCGGGAATGGAATCCTGGGTGACTGATAGGAGAGTTTGGTATTCAACTGCAATGTCTTGCCCCACCCAGGGGCACTGGCCTCCCCCACAGTCATAGCCTCAGTGATGCCAACATCCTCCAGTGAACTCCTGTCACTCAAATCCAGCACCTGCTTACCCAGGGCTGTGTAAGGTTTCCATCCAGAAGGAATGGAGCTGGAGAAGGCTGGGAGGCCAGAGTCATGCACGAAAGGCAGTAGGAAGGTTCACTAACAGAATTAACAAGAAAAGGGGCCTGGCCAGTGTGGTCAGTGGTTGAGCGTTGACCTATGAACCAGGAGGTCACCAGTTCGATTCCCGTCAGGGCACATGCTCTCCATCCCCTGTACGGGGCATGCAGGAGGCAGCCGATCACTGATGTTTCTCTCTCATCTGATGTTTCTACCTTTCTGGAGAGGAGACCCAATTTATAAGACACAAGTGGGGCAAAGTCAAGATCAAGCGGGACAATCTCTTGAGCTCCATGGAGAGCAGTGGTGAAGTGCTTCCATGGTGTTTTCTAGGGGAATTTCTTGCGCTCAGCAAGCATGCTACCACTGGCTGATTGGCAGGTGAGGCCAGGGGAAAGTCTCAAGGGAGGGCCTTTCCTTCTAGTACTTCCTACAGACCTCA